AAAGTTTAATTAAGTACTTAACGGTAATTACTTATTAATCGGTAATAAGATCGTTAATAATTATTACCAGTGGTATTACTGAGTAATAACACCGGTAATAACGTTGTACCTTCAGTCTTAGCCAAAGAAATATTTGCTTCCTATGTATTTCAAATGTAAAAAATCCCAACGGTCGAACATAGCAATTTCCGAACGAACGAACGAACAACATTTTTTTTAAATAAATTTCGAACGAACGAACGAGCAAAAAAAATAATTTTCAACTTTTCGAACGAACGAACGAACAAAATAAGTTTTTACAAAACTTTCGAACGAACGAACGAACAAAACAATTTTTTTTTATGTTGTCGAACGGTCGAACGAACGTTCGAAGCCAACACTAGTCGAGGCAGAAATTCCGCATCAAATCGTCGCATCCTGTCAAATTTGGAACCTGTGTGCCAACAATAAAATCAAATGGAATCTTTGTCAACTTTTATGGATGTCCATAAAATTTAGTGTATCCACTTAAAATTTTATATGGCCTTTTTACCGTTCATTTTTATTTTAATTCATTTTACTGTCGACCATTGAGCACATGCTTCTAATCTTGTCTGTTTACTGTCCGTCTCGAAGTCTAAACGCTATTGCTCGATGAAGGTGAAATGTGAGTCTCTTTGATTCTTGTGTTGTTGACCCAGTTCGTTTAAGTGTAACTTGGATGATTACCAAGATTATTCAAATATCGTTTTAACGAATCGAATTGCAGACAAAAAAATGGTCAATGTTGTGGGCTGTACAAAGAACAAGAGAGAAGTGTCAACAAAATACGCCGATTTTCCCATAAATCATTCATCAGACATGATTGCACCAAATATCTTCGTCTCCCGTTGTAAAATTGAAAGTCAGTCAAATGCCATGCAAAAAAGAAAACGCAAAAGAAAATCGTTCGAATTCGTAATTTTTCTTGTTGAACGTCTTAATTCCTTTCGACAGATTCACTTTTTGCGTTGTAGGTCAGTTTTTTTTACGTCTCAACACAACTTTTGAATAGCAGTTATATATACAGAATGAAAGTCTCGAAAAAAGTACCGGGTAAGAATGTGAGGGCGCGGATATGATACTCTTGATATATAATTGAAAGAGAAATAACCGAAAAGAGGACAAAAAAAAATCGATTGTTTTAACAATGCTTTTTGTTTGTACATACAATGCTCATAATATATTTGGGCACACAGCTCGATAACAAATCTCCACTTAATAAAAGCGAAATATAAATATATGCATATAACCATAACCAACTTTCTTTCCTCTTTCCTTCCATCTTTCCCTATTTCCCTCCCCCTTTTGCAGCTCCGTTGATTTAGGTGCAGACACAAATAGACGCATCAAATTGAGTAGCAAAAGGACTCATTTGATGACAAAGAAAAGAACGAAAAGATTGGTAGGTAGAATAAAAAGTAAGAAGGCTTTAACTACTCAAGATTTATTTTTGTTTCGTGAATAAATTATTTGGAAGACTGAACCGAGAGCATCACATTCAAAAATACCATTGAAAATAATGGGCTTTCGAATTGAATGTATATTCAACGTAACGTATTATTTCTTTCTGTTTGTCGCTAATTCTAATATCGAAATACCATATTTCACCAGAAGACAAACTGAATTGCTCTTCCGTGAAGATTTATCTTTGTTCTAATTTTGTTTTCTCATCATCTTCTTCTTTTTCTTCTTCTTCTTCTTCTTCGAGAAAAAAAACCATTTACTCAAATGTACTTATATTTGAGGTAAATAATTGCATATTAAAGACGTTTAAAAGGTGTTTCGAAGCCAGCTCATCATCAGGTCGCATTTCGTTCGTCATTTTATAGGCTAGATACAGAGAGGAAGGCAAGAAAGGGCAGCATTATTGCCTTATGATCTAACCAAAAGGTGGAAAGTTAATGTAAGCAAGCCAAATATAAAACCTAATGCAATGAGAGAGCAATGGTGGGCAATTGTTGGAGTTTATTTACGCCCAGGCAAATGCGTTTTTACATCCATTTTATAGTCAGTCGTTCGGTCGTTTATTGTCATTCGTCGAGTTAGCTTGAAGTCACACTCAGACTATTGCCCCAAATAAAAGAGCAGATGCCCACCCGTCACATTCATTGAAGAGAAAAAGAAAAGCTCTCGTTGGCATAGAGATAAAAGACCAAATTAAAATTCTAAGACCATCAAAAATTGCATTGTCCCCCACCTCCTGAGGCGATTTTGCATTGAAATAATAGTGGGCAAATGAAAGTGAATGCATAAACGATATCCCGGCTACTTTTCGGAATTAATGGCTTTTATACATTTAACGTTGAGTCGACACTTCACCAAAGAAAAAAAACTGGTGTAATCCTCTTCTCTGGCCGAGTCAATTCCATATTCACCATACCAGGACACACCACGCACTTTACATACTCAATTAAAACATCTGCTGTAACGGATATTTTTTCAATTTGCGATTTGTTTTTTTTCGCGTTCGTCACTAAAAAGGCCACTCCAAAACACACCGTACCCACAAAAAAAGAATTATATCCAAATAATTGAGCTTTTTGTTGTCTTCTGTCCGTTTCATAATGTGATAATGATAAAGCATTACAGAGAACATCAAAGACACACACTAGCCATTAAATAAACACATTCAATTGTAATAAGAACTGACATTGTCTGGCCATCATTTCTGCAATTAATTTTCCTGTTTTTTTTTTGTTGGCATCGCTCCCGGGTGGAGCGGACAATAGGTAAAAACTGTAGGCTCTTCATTTTGGAAACACCGAAATAAAAAACTATGGCGCCTCCTCTTAACGCGTCACATAATTCAATGGAATCGTTTCCATTCACTATTTATTCGCTTTATTTTGACTTTTCCTTCATTTTCACTTGAATTGTTTCATTCAATGCGTCCTTATAGCCGCTACCGCCAAGACAAGTACGTAAACCTGCAGCAATTTCGTATTCGACTGCGACGTCATTTGAGCATTTATGTGCTTTATCCGTCCAAGCCCAAAAAAATGCGTATGTTTTTGTTCTCTCCATATTGAAATAAAAGAGAGAATGAGATGAAAAGCAAGTTGAGGCAGTTCAAACTTCATGTTGTGAATAATCGCCGTGATAGAACGAATGATTTATTGGTCGGAATAGCATTGTGTTAAATCATATTAGGCAACAAACATATTCACATATCTGTGGAATAAACAGCGCGCTGGATGCGCGCCTTTACCTCGCTCAAAGTAGTCTATATCGGTTCAAAAGTTTCACAAATATGTGTTTACGTCTCGCCGTTTGACGCCAAGCAATAACGCATTCAATTCGTTTTTAGTCTGAAGCACATACTGGCGAAGTGTCATTGTGCTGGAAGGCAGTAAATTGTTTGTTATACTCACACAAGACGCATAACCAAAGGCAAACGAACAACGGCCCGAAAATTTATTTTGCGTTTAGCTTTTTTCATTTTATGTGCGCCACTTCTGGGAACATCTGTTCAGAACAACATTGTAAACACTTTTTTTTTCTGAAACCCTTGAATGCACGTGGAATTTCGTAAATAAAAAACATACTTTTTCATGGTTTGTTTGAATCGGTTGATTTGAAGGCGCTCATATTTATTTTAGGAAAGAATGAGCTTTTAAGTAGTTGCAAGAGTAAAAACACCACATCAAATATTTACACACAGTTGATTGGATTTATAGCGGTTTGTGCATGCAAAAATGGTACACTTATCATGATATGAAAGATTAATAAAATGTGCCTAAATGTAAATCATATTTCCACAATGCAAAAGGAATCAAATAAAACCAGAAAATTCATCTCGCTTTTGTCGATTGAACATTCTCACCTGTTGGCTTCTACGAAAAGGACTCATTTAGGTCTTTTGTATAAAAAACTATAATTAAAACGTTAGATGTACTACAACATAACATCTGGATTGAATGGATTAGCCAATCTAGATGAATGGCTTTCTTTGTAGTTGTTTCGCATCTTCTGTATCAGGTATCGTATTGGTAAAAATGTCTTAATTCCATTTTGTAGTTAATTATCTGAAATGTAATGATGAATAAACATAAAACTAAATTCGGTTTTGAAATCAAACAAAAAAATTTCAAAATTTATTTCAATTTATTTTCAGAAAATAAATTGTTTAAATGTAATTAATTCTATTTCATAGATTGAGTTCTCAAAAAAAACTATATTTGTTCAAA